TACAGTAATCTATTTTATACAAACTGTCAATTTTCATTAAAGCATTCCTACTTCAAAATTGCAAGTTGCTCCAAAGCCGAATAAAAATTCACAAAATTAAGTCTTCCCCTTGGCATTCGCTTTATTTCAAGAACCCCAATCCATTCCTGTTGAGCCCCCTATTTTTCTTAGTTACTCCAACAATCTGTACAAACGGGGACGGACCCTTTGGGTTGTGACACCCCCTAACTGTGGGTTTTCACCCTTACTGTGTTAACCGCGCCACTTTTGTCCAAGGGGCAGTGCCATGACACGGATCCCCACACAAGACCGACTCTGAAAAAAAAAAAAAATGTTTCATTTTTCAGCTTTCCCTGAAAAATTCATGTAGAAACCGGGGGGACAAAAAGGCTAAGGATTTGAACCCAAAAAAAGGGTTCAATTGTAAAAACGGGCCTTTTTTTGGAAAAAAATGAAAACAGGCCCTACTTTATGCAGGGGGAAAAGGCACTCCCGGGACACAACCCTTAAAAGACAGGTTTTACTCTTTTTGTGGGGTATGTATGGGTTTTTAAAGTGAACCCTTTACTTGTGTATCACTCAGAAACCCCAGATGTTCAAAAAAACAATGTTGTCAAGAATAGATTTTGTGGAGGGGGAAAGCAAATCTAAAGCAGGATGGAAGCAAATTTTCAAAGAGTGGGTTAATGATGTTTTTGGCCCATGGGAAAAAATATCTCCTGGAAAAGAAATTGCCATTTCAAGGCCTCCTAAACGGGAAAATGCCTGCAATCCCCAGACTTAAAACCCAAGTGTTTAGGGACTTCAGTTTTAAAAAAGTGAAATTCTTGCCTCCCCAACACCATTCCCTCCCCACCCAAGGACCAGCAGGTCATTTCTAACTTCAAAAAAATTACACGAAGCAGTGTTTCAACAGTCTTTGACGTACCTCAGACATCAGTTTACCCAAGAGAGTCTGGAGGAAACACTTCACTACCTCCATTTCATAAGCCCCATAGGAAGGCTGGGAAGGGGGGACTTCCAGGATTTGAACTTTTTGGAGAAAATTTTGGCGGTTGTGTCCAGAAAGGGATTTTGAAGGGGGTTTAGGCTGATCCAGGGCTTATTGTGGCACTGGGGTTGGGGGCGGGTGGCGGGATGGGAAGAGTTGGGGAGGGAAAAGGAAGACAAAAAAGGAGAGCTGCAAGAGCTTCACTCGAACAGCAACAGATGCAGCTCAAGAACCTTTCTTCAGAGGAGGGGAGGAAAAGGGAGAAAGGAGGTGCCTTCTTCAAGATTAAACAATTGGCAATGCAGGGCCCGGGTAAAGCATTTGGGAGAAATACCCCCTACCAAGCAAAAACAAACCCAACTGCAACAGTTATGCAAAACCCTTCCCCCTTTTAGGGAAATCCTAGGATGCCAGAAACGACCCCTATGGACAGAATTTTGTGTGACAGGGGTCCAGTGACTCTCAAGCTGGGCCCAGGGCCCGTAAAAAACAAAGAGGGAATTAACCCCAGAGAGGGACTTTTTAGTACCTAAAATCCTTTTGGAGGGGGAACCCCCCTTCCCAAAAACCTAACCCCAGGGGTTTCCCAAAAAAACTTTTTCACTTGTTACCCAATTTAACATGCCACAAAAAGGGCCATTTTCCCCCCCTTTTAAACAAAAGTTGTTATTATTGATATAAAAGGGCAAAATTTAAAACCTTGAAATATTTTTTTTTATTTATTGTTTTTTGAACTTTGTGCATCTCTAATGCTATTACCAAAGATTCAAGAACATCAGGGGGAGGATGGGGTTGCATACTTGAAGCCTATTTTTGGGAAAATTTTTGGCTTCGTGTTGAAAGTGCCCCCGGGGAAACGTTTGCAACATTCAAGCAGTCCTCTTTTTTGTTTTCATACCCAGCACAGTTGAAAGCCCCTTTTCGCACAGATACGTTGTTTTAGAAAAGATACCCCAAAAACTTCAAAAGGGTCCTTGGGCAGAGGTTGGGGATCAGGGGTCGTGAAAACCAAAAGGAATCTGCATTTTGGTTTTTGGAAATTTGATTTTCAAGGCCCTTCCCTTGGCTTTGCATTGTGATTCCCCTCCTCCTTTGCAGGAAATCATCATCAAGATTTCCACTTATTCTACCCTACCAGCTTAGTCCCACCTCCCGGCTGATGCTCACGATAAACTGGGCAGGTGAAAAAAGAGGCGCCTCAAAAAAGTGGTGAAAGCCCCACTGGACAGGTCGATCCCGGGCTACTGAGGACTTTGTCCTGAAGCATACTTGTTTAAAAAAACTTTTGGGGTTTTCCCCACACTTTGCTATTAATTTTTTTCTTTTCAAAAACTGTATATTAGTTTTTTTTATGTTTAAATTTTTATTTTGGTTTAACTTTAAAACTTACTTTAATTTTTACTTTCAACTTTATATACTAAGACAAAGTTAACAATAATCCTCATACCGGGTACCGCATTGTTTTCTTGATTTTCAGAATTCATAACTTTTTTTCTGTCACCCCTCCATTACCCCCCAAAAATGGTTAAATTACCCCCAGGGGGTAATTTACCCCCAGTTTGGGAACCACTGCACTAACTCCTCCCTCTTTCCTCCTCCCTGTCTTCCAGAAGCCAACATTAGTCTTCAATAAAGGTATGTATTACTTATATAATTGTTAAAAAAATAATTTTCTTGTGAATATTTTTGTCTAGAATGGATTAATTGTATTTCCATTAATTCTTATGGGAAATATTTCGGTTTTCGGCCATTTCAGTCTTAAGCCAACCTTCTGGAACTGATTATGTCCGATAACCGAGGGTCCACTGTCTGTGTGTGTGTGTGTGTACTCACCTATTTGTGGTTGCTGGGGTCGAGTCTTAGCTCCTGGCCCAGCCTCTTCACTGGTTGCTACTGGGTCCTCTCTCTCCCTGCTCCATGAGCTTTATCAAACCTCATCTTAAAACTATGTATGGTTCCTGCCTCCACTACATCACTTTCTAGGATATTCCACTGCCTGACAACCCTATGACTGAAGAAATACTTTCTAATATCTCTCTGACTCATCTGTGTCTTCAGCTTCCAACTGTGACCTGTTGTTTCTGTGTCCCCTCCCTGGAACATCCTGTCTTTGTCCACCTTGTCTATTCTGTGCAGTATTTTATATGTCGTTATCATGTCTCCCCTGACCTTCCTGTCCTCTAGTGTCGTCAGGCCGATTTCCCTTAACCTTTCTTCATAGGACAAACCCCTTAGCTCTGGAACTAACCTTGTCACAAACCTTTGCACTTTCTCTAGTTTCTTGATGTGCTTTATCAAGTGCGGGTTCCGAACAGGTGCTGCATACTCCAGTATGGGCCTGACGTACACGGTGTACAGTGTCTTGAACGATTCCTTACAAAGGTATTGGAATGCTGTTCTCAGGTTTGCCAGGCGCCCATATTCTCCAGTAGTTATCTGGTTGATGTGTGCTTCTGGAGACGTGCTCGGTGTTATACTCGCTCCAAGATCTTTCTCCTTGAGCGAGGTTTGCAGTCTTTGGCCACCTAGCCTATACTCTGTCTGCGGTCTTCTGTGCCCTTCCCCTATCTTCATGACTTTGCATTTGGTGGGATTAAATTCGAGAAGCCAGTTGCTGGACCAGGTGTCCAGGTCTCTTTGAAGTCCTGCTGGTGTGAGTGAGTGTGTGTGTGTGTGTACTCACCTATTTGTACTCGCCTATTTGTGGTTGCAGGGGTCGAGTCATAGCTCCTGGCCCTACCTCTTCACTGATTGCTACTAGGTCCTCTCTCTTCCTGCCCCATGAGCTTTATCATACCTCGCCTTAAAACTATGTATGGTTCCCGCCTCCACTACTTCACTCTCTACGCCATTCCACGGCCTGACCACTCTATGACTGAAGAAATACTTTCTAACATCCCTTTGATTCATCTGAGTCTTCAACTTCCAATTGTGGCCTCTTGTGTCTGTTCCCATCTCTGGAACATCCTGTCTTTGTCCACCTTTTCTATGAGCAGGCATAATGACACACTTGGAGGTATAATATTTTAGCCCAAGCCCACTCCTAGCCGTCGAGCAATCTAGGCCATCCATCTTAAGAACTTTTATAACTGTACGGGCATTTCCGTGTTAGGGTTAATAATGTGCTCGTCCCCGAACTTTGTCCAAGCTGAAGGTGTCCCCCAGGGATGTGTTTCTAGCACAACTCTTTTTCTCTTCTTGCTATTAATGGTTTGCCTCTAGTCTTCCAACAAAGTATTTGGTCATCACTCTATGTTGATGACCTTTCGCTATTGCCTGTGCAGGCGCTGACTGTCACCCCTTACAGTATCTCTCCAGCATGCAGTCGACCGAGACCGTGTTTTCCAATGGGCCACCACACATGGGTATTAAAGTGTCCAGCACTAAAACCCACAAAATCCCTTTCCACTAACGCTCTGTCAACTCTGATCATCCTTGTACCTCTATGGATCAACGTATCCCCTGAACGTGATACAGTCAAAGTTCTGGGCCTCCCTCTTTGATTCGTAAGTTTATCCTGGAAACCTCACATTACCTCCTGAAGGCAACTTGTCACAGTCCGGCTAACCTTCTTAAAACCTTCTCACTTTCGTGGGGTAGCTGATCGTCGAACCCATCCTTCCACCTACATCCACCCTTATTTTATCGAAAACTTGATTATGGTGACCAAGATCTATTCAGACGGCATCCCTGCAACTCTCTCTAGCCTTAACCCCCCCATTGCATCAGCCATAGGAATTACGTTTATGCCTTGGTGCTTTCGCGTCTTATCTTCCCCAGTCGAAGCTCTATGCAGAAGCGAACGGTCCATGCCATCCTTGATCCGATCGCTGCGTGATGCCCATAGCCTGCGCTACTATGTAACGGCCTCATGATCTCCGCAATCCTTCCATTTATAGAAATGGTCCACTGATATTAGAATAGACAGTCTTTATTTGTTCGCCGGCCCCTCTTACATCCCGTCCCTTCTCTCTTCGCCTTCATTCGCTCTTGTCTTCTCTTCAACTACCACTTTCCATGGTAGCATGTAGCTCTCCACTTTTTCCCTACCCCCCTGGGCAAGTTACCAGCTGTTTCGATCTGTTTCTTTCTCCCTCCCTTGATCGAAAGCCCAACTGTCTACGGATCGCTCCCCGCTCTCTTTTACTTTTTTCTTGACCACTTATCACTCTCATTCTCATTCCATATGCTGTGTACACAGATGGCTCTAAGTCTTCGGAGAACGGCGGAGGATTCCCAGCAGTGTTCCGACAGCAGTCTTACAAGGGCATTTACTATCGTTCAGCTAGTATTGTTTAACTGCTGAATTATATGTCCATCACTA